GGTGTTACGAGGAAAAGTAACTTAATTAAACATGCTTGTACGATATGTATGTATTAAATGTATTTGTAACTTCAGGTGCTTGTGAAGATGGAAATGCTACTCCAGGCAGACATGGACGTGGAAGAAAAATACAAACTACTGAAGCAAGTGGGACTTGGTCACGTCATCTTCATCGTCGCAGTTAGCTTAACTGCGTATTATCTACTAAATGTTGAGGAGGGTCTGTCCTATTACCTCCACGTATTCTCTGACACTCAACAAGAGTACTACTGTTTCCTGTCCTTGATCATAACCTGCAATTTTGCCAGAAGGATTAAAATTCTATATCAAGCTCTCAGCAACAGAATACAGAAATGCATATGTGAGTCAACTGCATGGATATCCAGTTTGGACACGCATCTGCCTATCAGAATATCGAACCTTGGTAAGAATTATAGAACTATATGTCAGTTGACTGAGTTGTACAACGACATATTTGGCTGGGTTATTATTCTTATCTATGCCAATGCTGTAGCGAAGATGGTGAGACTGACAACTTTGATTCTGATGACAATGGGTCACAAACCTTGGGAGCCTGTGCTGTCCAGCTTTGCTATCACCACATTGAATCTGGTAAGTGAAGACTAAAGATTTGTTTATTATACGAGTCTCATTATAGAAAAGCATAAAAGCGCTGCGTTGCTGGAAGCTGTGTCATATTGGTGCATTTTACACAACTATTCATATGGCATGAATCCATATACAGCAGTATTTGTTAATTGCTATTTCATCATACCATCGTAACAAATGAAGTTACGGATCTGACGTTTTTGTCGTTTTATAAGATGAAGATGAAGATGTATGTCAAGATCATGCATACATTAGGAGCGCAAGTGAATACCCGAAGAGAAGTCATGTAACTTTTTGTGAAATGACACTCAACCGTTCCTTGATCCTAAAATAACCAAAATATGAACAAAAAACATAGACGAAAAAGGAAATGTTTGTATATTCCGGTTAAACATAAGAACTGCCACTATCCACTGTAATACTCCTCGTAGCATATTGTTGAATTCGCCGTTCTGTATGTAGTAATTATAATTCAATAGCGGGCCAGTCTAGAAGGTCCGATTACTACTCTATTTCGTCCTTTATTTTATGCTCTTATTATTGTATGCACACTGTCAATTTAGTTACTTATCGTTATATCTCCCGGTAATTAGATGAGTACGTTATTCGATTATATGTAAATAAATAAATCAGTAAATGGATAAATAAACAGATAAATGGATTGATAAATTAATTAATATATAGGTTAATGAATCAGTAAATAATTGCGTTTAACAACCACGGGTTGCATTTTGCTACTGAAGCAGTACATTTCGTTTCATTGACTGCCGAAGACATTCGGAGATATATCTTCTCCCCATAGAGTGTTCATTTTAAATACTGTCTTTTGTTGAAGTTTGCAGCCAACCAGAGCCGGTTGGAGTCCGAAAATCCACCACTGCACTGTAATCTTTCGGATACTGCGATCTCATTACCACGTATACTGGCCTAAGCTATTTTTGTTTCTGGCGTCCGTACATAAAACATGGTGGCGTACTAAAAAAAACTAGGTGTCTTGTTCTAGATAATAGATTTGCACAATGCTTACATCGGAAGCCGTATGTGAATCAGATACTGGCCACTTAACTCTCACTCTTCTATTGTAAAATACTCCACCTTGAATGATCTGCCAAGCAGTACTCTTGAGTAGCTATGTCACCACTCGTTAATTGAATCGGATCTTCCCGCGTTACTGATTAGTTGGTAGTGTGCCTGCCATTAGAATAGCAGAAGGTACAGCTACCCTTATTCTAAATATGAAATGAAAATACTTTGACATATCCCTCTCTCATAATATCAGTCGAAAACAGATTCAACCACACTTCAATTGCAACCACTGGCATTGTACGTAATTCACTCAATGCGATAACATGCCGAATCTTGTTAGTTCTTAGATTAAAACACATGTTTATTCCATAGTAATTCTTCCCTCATTCAGTTATTTTCTATTGAAAACTCATTTAGTTCGCCAGGGACGCACTAGCCCTTAGGCAATATACAACATAATATTTTTACACTCCGTAATATAATGGACCAAAGCCTCATCCTTTATCTGGAAGATGTACCTGTATTACTGTATGAATTGTATAAAATGAACCGTTTTTGAGAAAACCGGTTTTATTTCAGTAGTTTTTGCCGATAATATTATTGATTTCAATCTGGGACCTCGGTTGGCCGCGTGAGTCAGAGTGTCGTGCTACTGATCAGCCGGCCGGCCGGGCCGCGAGTTCGAATCTCGCCTTCGCCATGGATGTTGTGTGTTTGTTTTAGGCAGCAGCGGTGGCCGCAGTAGTAGACTCTTCGGTCTCCTGATCAGTCGCCGTGCGCTGTGCGGGTTCGATTCCCGTCCCAGGAGAAATGTTTCTCTTGGCCATGGATGTTGTGATTGTCCGTAGGTGGTAGATGGTCTCTGACTGTCGAACGCGGAGGTACCACCCGGCGGTTCTCGTAGGCGGAGCCAGAATGTGTGCATGTTGCATGCACACGTGTTCCCTCGCCAGAGTCCGTGTGGCGTCCCCCCTTTCCCATGTATCCCCCATAGCCCCACGGTACCCAATGGGTGCTTAGGCCTTAGGCCTTCGTGGTAGTTGGAGTATAAAAAAAAAAAAAAAAATAATGTGTCCACCATTTTGAACGTATAGTAAGTAAGAAATAACCTCATGAATGCTGTCGGGACAAAAAGTTGTGTTTGGCGTGGAGAAAGCAACATGTCAGCATAGTCAGACCTCCCGTATATTTACATCTATTATTAAGAATAATAATATTTCTTTATTCAACGAATCATCAAGCGATGACATGGAATGCGTCATAAGAAAAAGAAATAAAAACTTGTACAATGTACAAACATCAAAAAAACACTTAAGGGACGATACTATGATAAAGAATACAAACAAGTGTGTATTAGTTTTTAAAATAAGCGAGAAACTCGTCAATGCTGTAAAAGCAGCCTTCCAATAAAATGTTTTTTACCTTTCTTTTAAAGCTATTCAACGACGGAACCTCGCATGTCGGCTGGAAGAAGGTTAAAGAGCATACATCCAGCATGAACTGGAGACTTTTTATAGTACATTATGGTAAAATTATTTATTGGTAATGAAACTGATGAATGTCTTTTAAATTTTTTGTTATTTTGGAAAAAACACTAATGGCTTGAACATATGAATAGAAGCCACAGTAAGAATTCCATAACGTTTGAATACTTCCCTGCAAGATGACTGATAGTAAATTTGAAAAATTAAACGGATGATCCTGTTTTTGGAGGATAAAAACATGCAGAACGTCTTTAGCCTGCCCCCACAAGAGGTAATAGCAGGGTATCCAAACTCATAATAAATATTCATCAATAATTTATCACAAAATAACATTTACCAAGCTTCGCGCATACTGAATTGGCATTTTCCTGCCATGACAGATGTGACTCTAAAATGACACCTCGGAATTTAAATGGCATGGATGATTTTATTGGTTATAATTAATATTAGTCGGAAGTTTATGCCTTCTGTGACACTCTATGGTTACAGTCTTAATACAGTTGACGATTAGGCGGTTTTTATACAGGGTGGCGCATCGACAACGAAACAGACGCATTTACTGGCAGCTTAGTTATTTTTTGGAAAAACACTCAGACCCGTCGATTTTTTCTTCGAGGGGGACACAAGTTTGGCAAAAAATCACGTTAGCACGTGCAGCCCCCAAAATCTTAAATGGAAAGGGGGGTCGAGTGATACCTTATTTTAAAGGTCTTTCAATTCCCTTTACAAAGATATAAAATTAAAGTACTTCAGTTCAGTAGTTTTGAAGATATATTGATTTAAAGCTTAAATAAAATCAATACATCATCATTAGTGGAGATCAATACATTTGACAGCAAAGTAATTTAAAAATGAAGAATGAACTGACCCGTTAGGCAAGCAAATGTTGAAAATGGCCACCATGACTCTCCATGCAATAATAAAGATTTTGGTCAAAACGTTGCCGCACATTTTGCAATATTTGAGGAGTAATTTGAAGGCACTCACTCACAATTCTTTGTCGCAAGTCTTCTAATGATGTTGGCTGAGTAGCATAGATTTTACTTTTTAAATGACCCCACATAAAGAAATCTGGCGATCTTGGGGGCCATTCAGTGGCACCTCTTCTACCAATCCAGTAGATTTCATCAGCTTTTCACAAAAATTTTGTTTTTTCCAAAAATGAGGTCAACCAACACAACCTCGAATTCCAATTCTATTGAGCTTATCAGAAATAAACTTGTGGGAAAAAGTATTGAATGCTCTTGTGAGATCGAAAAATTTGCTGTTACGAGCATACCATTTAGCGGAACTGTCAAGTATACACCTATGCTGAACACATTCGGTGGTTGCTAGTTCTGTTGAAAATACAGCTCGAAAACCAAACTGACGGTTTGATCTAGATTTTATTAGTGTTTAAAACATGTTGACTGCCATGTGAGACCAACGTGTCACCATAGTAAAATGAAAATTCTGGCCGCATGATTCCTACGTGGACTTGCACTGACAGAGAACCCATATTGCTGCGTGAAGCCACGGTGGTCTCTTAGCTGCATTTGAATTACATTGTATCGATTAATAGGCGGCCCAATGAACCCGTAGGAACTGTTAGCCTTTACTTGTGTGATACCACTGTGGTCTCACATGACAAAATATTGTAGTAAGAGTCGAAGTTATAGTTTTCATTTTTTTCTACTTCTAAATAATTATTTCAATTATGACAAATCTTGTGAAAAAAAAGATAAACAAAACGAGAACTTAGACATGTGAAACTGAAAATATTAGTTAATTCTGTTACAAATGTGAACCTGAAAGAAACAATCTAAGCAGTAGTGCTTTTCGCAACCTGTGCATTTTAGTGTCGTTTGCAGAGTTTTACGCATAGCAACATTTGCTTATGACCTATGAGATTTCAATTGTTTGTTGTAAACTGGCATTACTGCCAGCATCGAACTTCTGCACAACAGCTCCCGAAGTTGACAGTTGGCTTCCCTCAACAAGGTCCTGTACACTAGCTGTCAAAGATTTATCACTTTTTATTCCTGAATCCGAATCAGAGTCAGTCATATTGTCAGAAGGCTGATATTCATCTGATGATGTTTCTCCAAACAAGTTTTCATCGTCTATTTCGTCTTTAGATAAAAGTTCTTGCCAAAGTTGTTCTGCCTCATATGACATGATTGTTATAACACTCTCGACTATAATGGGTATTATAAACTATTGATCAAACTGTTATACGCGACAAACTCTTTAGATTGCGGTGCATTCAGGCAAAATGTGGTGATGCGTTGGTCTCACGCGGCCAACAGGCATAATCTAGTCATGACCAGCCGCGTGATGCCAATGTGTCACCACAAAAAAATAGTTGTAAAAACAGCGTTTTTTATTTTTGTTTAGGTTTTATTTTTATCCTGCTTGCATTTTAGATTATTTTGAGAGGAATCCTGGAAAAATTGTCTTACGGCCAGTAAGGCATTTTATCTTCAGTCCATGGTGGCAGTCAACGTGTTAAGGAGACTAAATTTTTATTGAAATTATTTTTTCTGTGATTTTTGAGAAATTACTTAAAACAGTTCTCGGCCTGTAGCTTTCGACGTCTGAAGGATCACCTTTTTTTAATATTAGGATTATAGTACAGATGGAAAAATACCTTTAATTAATAAGTTCAGCAAGTATTGATGCAATAATATCAGCATTATCTTTAATTAGCGAAACGGGAATCTCATCGGGTCCAGTACTTTTTTATTAGATGAAATGTTTATTACATTTATTGACACAATAGGATAATTTTACTTGTCATACACACCGTTTTTTTGTACTTATAGTGTACGACCAGTTTATTATTCACTTGTATGGCATATAATAATGAAAATGTCTATACGTTCAATTACTGTAATAAGGTAAGTAATACATTAGCCTGTCCGTGTTCATAAGCGTCATGAAATGAAAGAAGGTCCACCTGTATGCGTTTTAATGATTTCAATTTAGTTATTGCGTGGGTCTGCTATCACATGTACCAGCATAATGACTGCTTCGAAAATGGAGAAGAAAAAACGCGTTAATCAAACTGCATTCACAGCTATTTGCAAAGCTAGTGAGTTGTTGTGTATTCAACCTTGGTATGATAAGAAGGAGAAGGAATTAAGCCACCCATTGGCCTTTCAACTATACTCGCTAGTTTTTGCCGTAGGAGTAATCGCGGGATTGGCGTATGTAGAGTATAAAGCCGAAAGGAATACAGTCAACTCTGTAGATGCAGTGCTAGCTGAATTAAATACAGTGATGTTGGTGCTCTTGGTAGTAATTTTGGTACTTGGTTCGAACTTCAACAGAAAAAGCTGGCAGTTTTTGATGACGGAATTTGGTAATCTCACCTCATCTCTGAAAGACAATGAAGAGACAAGTCGTATATTGGATGATTTCTTTTTGAAGTTTTGCCTTGGTAATACCATCTGTATAGCAATCGTGATCTTTGTGGTGTACTTCGTTCAGTATGGTCAGGTAATGAGTTTCTACTGCCTGCTAGCTGAATTCGTTGCGGAATACTATGGTTTTTTAGCAACTGTCTACATAAGCAACTTTATCATTCTCATAAAATGGAAGTACAGAAGTATAGTCAAAGGTCTAAATGACATTGATCTTAAAGCTGAACATTTGGACAAGATCTTGACTCGCATAATGAGTGCAGGTCACAGTTGTAAAGTGATGTCCGAATTAGTAAATTGTTGTAACAAGATTCAAGGTTGGCAGGTGCTGTGGTTGCTGGGAAGAGCTGTGGTGCAGTTGCTAAGATCCGCAAACTGGGTGATTGCTGTTGGAAACGATTTCAATTGGCCTAGCTTTCTTGCTATTGCTTTCCTTGCTTCAGCTGGACTGGTAAGTGAGCACGTGCCTTCATACCTGTAGAAGGTCACAAACAAAACGGTTTTAATGTATTCAACATCGGTACGATAATGGTAAACGAATTCAAGCTATGGCTTTAAGCTATACTTTCTAATGATGGGTGTTTCAACCCCGACTCTGACTACTGGAATCTTGACAACGGTAAGATACATGAAGTCGGTTAACTGAAAACAAAGTCGCATAATGGTCAAATTAAAAAAATGGAGCACGCGTTTCAGGGCATTTTAGGAGATAAAAGCAGAAATATTCGAAAACCGTTTTAATTTTTCCCTAACCCTATTTGAGGTGTCATTTCCGAATGACTTGTACACTAGCATTGCCAATTTATCACCTCTAGATGACCATAATTTGGATTCAAATATGACTTTTTTCCTCCTGTCCTCACTCATCAACTTTATTTTTGCCGATGGGCGCTATAGTGGATTTCTAGAGATGAATTGAGTTTTTAGTTCTGATGTCAGGTCGATTACTCAAGTCTTTGGAAGGCATGTTAAGAGAAGATTTAGAAAATTTGACACGACACCTTAGCCTTAGATTAATATTATTCTCATGGTATATGTGCACATCTGGTTATAAATGACGGATGTGAAATGCATTCAGCAGCCTGCAATGTCGTCAAAGCTTTTAATTACCCTAAAATTTTGTATCAGCTTCTTAAAGTTGTCTTTTGTGCCTCCAACACTACACTTAAATGCGAAGAGTTGAGACCACCAATAGGAATATTACTTTTTGAGACATTTGAGGTTTTGTATTAGTTCATGTCAAGATTTGTACAATATCACAAAACTTAAATCGGAAGTGGGGTTACTGTTTACCCAGTTCATAACTTCAAGGCTTACTTATGACATATTGATTCTTCTACTAATTAGAGTATTACAATACCAATCTCTGGCATATACGTTTGTCAAATCAGAATTTTATTTTGAAAAAGGTTACCGAGGTGGCGGAGAAGTTAGTAAGAACTGAAGCATACGTAGGTCTGTTGTTTCATTTCATAGCTGGTTAACTTGCAGGATCACAATTATTATTCTGTCGTACTTCTTATATTCTTCTACAAGTTTATACTAAGTAAATTATTCAACACTTGACAGCCTAAAGATGCAACAAAAAAAATTCTTGCCCGTGACTCTGAATAAACGAAAACAACCAAAGATAAAAGACGAGTTAAGCCAGTATAAATTGGTTTGATTTTTCAAGCACCTTATAATGATTTTTGCTCACAAAATTAAGATGAAATTGTTATAAAATTGTCTTGATCAACTAACATGCTCTAATTTCATGCGCCATATGAAACTCGAGAAAAATTTGATGTTCATTTGAATGGTGATAATTGTCTCAAAAAATGTAAATTCGTTGTCCATAGAGGTCAACAAAAATTTAACCCCCACTACTGTAAATTAAAAATATTCAAAGGCTTTCATGACAAAATTAATTTGATTTTTGAGAATATACGAAATGTTTGACACTGAAACTATATTGCTTTAATTTGTATTCATGGATAGACAAAATTCCTCTGAACATGCTATAAAACATAGGTTTTCAAAGTAATATCCTCTATGGCCCTGAGTTAGATTTATTGGGTGGCCCCACTAAACTTTAGTTGGAGAACACTGTAATTTTTAATTCGTAAGAAACACTTCTTCCTAGAGTTCGCTGTACTTCATTGTTTAGGTCTTGTCTTCCTAGCTGCTGGATGAAATAGAGGATTTAGAATAGTTATTTTTATTATCAATATCGATTAATTTAAGAGCAATTTAAACTTTTATAGGAATTTCACCTTTTTGTTGTGTTGCTGAGTATTTCCAATTCCGTTAGTCGAATAAATACCAAAAGATGAAATACATTAAAACCTGCACTTATGCCCGGCCTTGTACTGGAGGGTATCCGATTCCATTATGCAACATGCCCCTCCCTGTAGAGAAAAGTAAAATAGTTAGCAGAAAGATATTCCGCTTGGTGGATATAATGTATATCAAGCCCTGGCATGTTAGATATAAGCGTGATTTTGAATACCCCTTTATGGTTCCAGCTATACTCCTTAACATATGGCTTACCCCTTGTATCTGGTTTGACTTATATTTCGTAGAAATTTGAGGGATATTCAATAATGTATGGACAATATGATAAAGTTGATGCTACTTTGGATGGTATCAGCACCAGGATACTGATATTCTAGCGATTCTTGCGCTAGGCACAAATGAAGGACATAAGAGGGGACGTCGCAGTGTATTTTACAAACAGGGAAGTGGTGGTTGAAGATGTAGAGTACTACGGCGGTTTATTGGGCCTACACCTCGTGTTATAGTAATATACTGCTGCTACATATCTCCCAATATTTCCCATAAATGAGTTTCAGAGCGTGGTCGACAAGTTAATGTCTGAAATTCTGCAATTGTCACCTCAAGAAGAGAATGTTTGCTCTTAGGAGACATAAATGCAGAGACCTTTGAGTGAGGATCACCATTTACAGATAGAAGAGGAACGTACTTTTTTGTAGTGTATATACAGGGTGTTTCACTTTATTGTTGCATAACTTTAAGATTCGATAGAACTTTTAAAATTAATGCATAAAGTCTATATAAACATGGGTCGAAAAATGCGTGGCTTCCGAAATAGAGGGTGTTTAAATTTACTTTCTAAAATAGTTTTTTTCTAAATATTTCGAACAATATTTGATGTATAACAGTGAAAATTGGTATACAAGGGTTTTTTGGTACGACAAAACGAACCATAGTTTTACTGTAGCCGCTAGAGGGCGCTCTCTACTGTGTATTAAAGTGACCGAAAAATTTTTCCTAGTGCAATTTTTTTCAACATAAAAAAGCTCTCTTGTCAATTTTCGTTAGAGTTAGCCGTTTTTGAGATATTTCGATCTTTAAGGTTCGATGCATTTTTAATTATTTATGATAAAATAACGTTAAAAAGTCAGTATCTCGATAATTTTTAGAAGTAGGCTGTGCCTGCAAATATTTTTGAAATTGAAAGCAGAATAAGGTTCAACGTCAATTAGTTGACAGTTAGTTTTGTTGTCTGTTGAAACCTGAAACGTTTTTTTGCAATTGTGAATGCACGAAATTTAGTTTCTTTTACCTGTTTTTTTTTGTAAGTTTTATAAAAATGCCATTTTTATTCTCCAATCAAGAGTTAGCGGATATTCATTTTGTGTATGGCTTTGTAAATGGAAACGCAGCAGAAGCAGACAGAGAATACGCACGAAGATTTCCAAACAGACGACATCCAACTCGCTCAGTATTTGTAAGAGTGCATCGCCAAATAATTGAAAATGGATTTGGAAGTCTCCAAAGGGATCAAAACATGAATGTTCGTCAGCGCAGATTTACCCGTATGATTCTGCGTGAGTTTGATAGAGATCCGATCACAAGTGTTAGGAGAGTTTCTGGTGCCTTGGGAATTTCAGCAAGCCATGTTCACCGTGTTCTTAGAAATGACCATAGACGTCCTTACCATTTGCAACCTGTGCAAGGACTACAGCCAGGGGACGGAGTACGAAGAATCACATTTTGTCAGTGGATTCTTGATAGAACTGATAATAATAGGGAGTCTTTAAGTAACGTTTTAATGCTTCACTAAACGTGGAGTGGTAAATTTTCATAATCAACATATTTGGCCGCATGAAAATCCGCATGCAGTTCGGGAAAGAAATTTTCAGCATGAATTTAGTGTGAACGTGTGCATTGGTATCTACCGTAATCGAGTATTTGGACCCTACCTTTTGCCTGCAAGGTTAAATGCTGCGACCTTCTTGGAATTTTTAAAGGCTGAACATGCAAATATGTGGGATGATGTTCTGTTAGATTTAAGAAGATTGGCCTGGTTCCAGCTTGATGGTTGTCCAGCTCATTATTCGAGAATAGTTATAAACTGGCTGGACGAAAATTATCCAGAAAGATGGATCGGCCGTGGAGGACCAGTCGCCTGGCCTCCACGATCCCCTGACCTAAATCCATCAGATTTCTTTGTTTTTTTTTATATCGAAACAGCCGCGCAGGCAGAAGCCTAAATGCCGGAACACCGCGGCTGCTATGATGATCCCAAAGAAATTTTGTTAATACGATTTTTGAACTGCCTAAGGTTAGTAGAACTGGGAAAAGCTTCCTCCCTCGGGACAAAGGAGCGGTCGTATCGGCCAGTTCTGGATGTACGAAGTTTGACACGGTTAGGATGGGACGCCGAAGTCAGGCGGGTCAGTCTGGCAGGCACATCGCGCGGCGGCATCATGGAAGAGAGCTCTGAGGATCAAAGCCCGTTGGTGTAGCGATAGAAAAGAGCTAGATCGCCGACGGCCCGCCGGTGCGAAAGAGTCCCGAGACTGTCTGTTAGAGAAGAGTCATCGATCAGTCGGACCACCCTCCTCTGGACAGCATCGAGCATGGACAATGTAGTCGGGGCGGCAGCACCCCAAATGTGTGAGCAATACTCGAGGCTAGGCCTTATCTGGGCCTTGTATAGAGTGAGAAGGTCATGAGGAGAAAAGTACTTCTTAGCCCTACACAAATAGCCTAGCTTTTTCCCAGCAGCTGCAGCTATTGAAGAGATGTGTTCGTGCCAGATCAGGTCCTCGGTGATCTGGACTCCGACCAGCCGAAATGAATGGCTCTTTGGTAGAACTCGACCGTCCATCGAAACTGTATGAGCGCTAGGACGCCTTTTGTTCGTCAGAGTACAGTACTGTGTTTTGGAAGCATTGAACTGTACAAGATTGTTGCGTCCCCAAGCAGTGATAGCCTCCAGGTCTCTTGTCAGAGAAGAAGTCGTCGCTAGTCTTCTTTTTTCCAGCTCAGCGGCAGAGATCGGCCTGTCACTCTGAATTCCTGCATGTAGAGTACTGTCATCAGCGAAGCTGTGGATTGGGTTGATCGTGCAGGAAAGGAGGTCGTTGATATGTAAGAGAAACAGTGTTGGAGCCAAGACCGATCCCTGGGGAACACCCGCGTTGACGTTGTGGGATGAAGAGGAGAATCCGTCAATTACGACGG